ATAGCAATGTACCGTAAAAATACTAGTTCCCGACTAGTTCTTAAAAAACAATTTCTTTTTCAAGTATGTAATTTACTATTTCCATTTTATGACAAAATTTCTCTTAAAAATGAGCTGGTATAATTTCAATCATTTTATACCAGTTTCCAAGTAGCTCTTTCACATCGAAAGTTTGCCATTTTACTTCATGTTAAATTTTTAGCGAAAAATCAAACGTTTCCAAGTATATATGATATGTAAGTGCAAACTTATGTTTTCTACATACATTTGTACATATGTATATGTATGTATATATGAGTATGGCGAATATCTTTATTGTTATTCCAGTAAAATATTTCCAAGACATCAGTGCACAGCTGTGACCGCAATTAGCACATCGAAATTTATTGCTTAAATAAATTCTTGCACTTGTATTCGAAAATATTTTTTATATAGGTACATGTACATACATATGTACATTTGATTATAGTATATATGAATAGTACAGTATTTATTTTGATTGCTATGTTATCCTTCAAAGTTCTTTAGAAAATGAGTGTAGAAGCAAACATGAAGTATTATCTAATTATGAGTATACATGCATACATAGCTGCATATTTATATATATATATATATATATATATATATATATATATACAAACATATTGTAATGCATGCGATTAGCAGTAAAAGTGATTCAGTTGTATTTAAACAGCGGTCAAAAACACACACGCGAGCATTTACATCCATACATACATATATTGCCCATAAAGCAGGATCTTTTACAAATTTTACAAAAAAATATATATGTGTACATATGCATATTTTTCATTTGTGGATTAAAAAAATTAAAAAAATTAATTTTAAAATTTTATATGTATGTAGCAACAGTAGATTGTGCCGAAAATAATTGTAAACATTTGAACAGCGTAAAAAATATTACACATACATATGTGCATAATGTAGCCAGTAACCCAGTTAGAAAATGAACTAGTTAAAAATTACTTCGAAATTCGCAGTTGCAGTTAGCGCAGCTAGTCAGCCAATTGTCCCGTTCTGTTCAAAAAAAATGCTATTTTTAATACGAACAAATATTACGAAATAGAAATAGTCAAATTCCGTTCAAAAATGTACTAGTACGAAACTAGTTCCAAATGGACACAAAATGAGTGGATCAATTTTGAAATAGAATTCGTTTTTATTTGTTAAAAATGAAATTGAGAACAATAATTTTTTTACCGCTTTCAGTTTTTACGATTTTTTCCATAATGACTTTCTTCATATTCTTCTCACAAATTTATGAAATAAATTTCGAAGCAATATTAAAAATAAATTCATAATTCTATTAAATATTATGAAATAAATAAGTAAAATAATTATAAGTTAATAAATTACATTTTTTTTTTAATTAGTATCAATTTGGTACTTTTCGGCCTAGTGTGATTTCAGCCAAGAAAAGCATCTAGTAACAAACTAGTATCTTTTCGATACAATTCGTTTATATCACGGCTTTGAACGATTTTTAAATATACATATTTACTACAAAAGCACACAAGCAGTGCTATTTGTAAAAAAAAATTTGCATATATGTAAGTTTGCGATAAAAAAAAAATCGAAATAAAAATAAAATGAAAATGAATAATGAATACCCTGTTTTCTTTTTTCTCTTTTGTAAAAACAAATAGAGAATTCGCTTTTAATATTTTACGAGATTTTATTTGCATATACATATGTATGTACATACAAAAAAGATGTTTTATTTGCACATATGTACGTATGCATGAATATACATACGTTTGTAGCTGTTGCTTTTATGACTAATGCTTGTTTCTGTATAAGATATTGAAAAGGCATTGCTTCCAACGAGCTATCGAAGCCAATTTTAAGCGGCAAACGGAAATTTTGTATTTGTATAAAAATTTACAATTCTTACAAATTCTTTATAAATTTAAGCCGTTAATCGAGCGAGAATGAACACTCGCCAAAAATGAGAAGAGGAAAACGCAATCTTATGACAATGAATGAAGCAAATAATTTTAAAATATATTAAAAAAAAATTTCAGATGAAAACCTTTTTGCTTTTGTTCCATATTGAATTGTTCGCACAATTTCTTTTACAATTGAAACTCATGCGGGGAAGTTTAAATTTTAATTTAATATTGAAAATTTGCGTTATATTTCTATCTTGTTTTATATCTTATCTTATTTTTTTATATTTCTTCTTCAATAATTTATTTATTTTTTTAGTGGAATACAAAAGCTTTTAGAGAATAGATTTTCTCAAGCATTTTCTCGTGCGAATGTGAATTCATGAAAATCACTCGCTTTGTGTATAGCACAGCAGATATATATAAAACAACAAACATACAAACAACCTTGCAGTGCTAAAAACTGATGCCTATAGATTTTTCAACCGAACTGTCTCTATTGGTTAATTTTTTTTTTTTTTACAAAATTTATTAACAAGTGGTCTTTCATTATGAGTTATATGCAAGCATACATACATAAGTGTACATACATAATATATATGTATAAATATAAATATGCGAGGAAACAAAAATTTGTTTTTTTTTATAATTTTTCTTAGTAATACCCATTTTCTAAAGCTAATATGCAAATATTCATACATATATATTGTACAATATGTATATTTGTTTGAAGATCTATAAATGTGCGGAGATTACCATCTGGCGCAAGTGTAAAAGGGAAAAATGAAAGAGAAGAAAAAACAATTATACAAGAATAATAATAATTTCTCTTTATTTCGGTATATATGTATGTGCATACGAATTCCATAGACCTCAACTCACCCTTCAATCAGTTATAAAATTTGCACTGGTCCAAAATGTACTACACTAATTCCATTTTAAATAATTTAATTTAATTTAATTTGTTTTATTTGGTTTTGTACTTTCTTTTCATTTTCCTTTAATTCTATTTTACTTTCTTTCATTTTTTTTATTTTTTTATTTTATTTTATTTTATTTTATTTTTTTATTTTATTACATTTAATTTATTTTTCTTTATTTAATTTAACTCAATTTAATTTATTTTATTTTATATTATACTTTTTAATTTGTTTTATTTTATTTCATTTTGTTTTATTTCATTCTATTTTATTTTAATTTATTTCATATAATTTTTATTTATTTTATTGCCTATTATTTTATTTTAGTTTACTTTACTTTATATCAATTTAAAAAATTTTATTTTATTTTATTTTATTTTATTTTATTTTATTTAATTTTTTAAATCATTCATTTCATCTTTTTAATTTTATTTTATTTCATTTTTATTTGATTTCATTTTATTTCATTTTATTTTGTTAAATATATATTTATTTAGTTTTGTTTTATTATATTTTATATAATTCTGTTTTATTTGATATAATTTGATTTATTTATTTTATTCAATTCTATTTTTTATATATTTATATTTTAGTTATATATCTAATTTTATTTCACTTTGTAAACTTTTGTTATATGTAATTTAATTTAATTACATTTTAATTTATATAATTTTATTTTATTTTTTCATTTATATAATTTAAACAATTTGGATTTATTTTATTTTTTCTCATACATTTTATTATTTTTAATTTTATTTTATTTTTTTCATTTTTATTTTTTTTTTTTGTTATTTTACTTTATTTTATTTTATTTCATTTAATTAATTTTTTTATTAAACTAAATTTAATTGATGTAATTTATTTTATTTTTTTTTTTTAATTTTATTTTATTTAGTTTTTTTATCTTTTTAATTTTATTTTATTTCATTTTATTTTGTTAAATTTATTTTTATTTAATTTTGTTTTATTATATTTTACATAATTCTATTTTATTTGATATAATTTTATTTTATTTCATTTTATTTATTTTATGTTATTTTTATTTATTTAATTTATTTTATTTTATGTATTTAATTTTTTTATTTTGTTTTATTTATTTTTATTTTTTATACTTATTTATTTATACTTATTTATTTATACTTATTTAATTTATTTATTATTATTACTATTGCTCACAACTATTTGCGTTTTTTGCAAAACTAGTTATGAACTAATTAAATTTGCAACTAACTTGCATTAGCAAGTTTCTGTGATTGTAGATAGTCATATATGCAAAAGTATTCATCTTCTAGGCACATTTGAATTTTGTGAAATATTCTACTATGGATGTACATGCACATGTACGTATGTATGTGTGTGTATGTGGCCAATATTATAAAACATATGGAAGAAATCTTATTTTTTCGCTCCACTTGAAACTTTTAGTAGCTCAAATATTATGATTTATGGTTTTTACTTATACTACTATGTACATCTGCAAATATGTGCATATGTACATATGTATGTACATAAGCTTAAACACATGCAATAATGAGTATAGCAAAGCAAACAAAAAGTATTCTGGCATACCTAAAAGTTATATACATACATACATATAATATACAAAATATATATACATTCATATGTATGGCTGTGTGTATGTTTACATGGTCTTGGAGAAAACTTCTTAGAAGGAAATGCAAAATAGATTTTACCTCCGCCAAAGTCATAAAAAATATTGCATAATCGAGTTAGAGAATTTTCAAGTTAATCTCAAAATCGATATGTACATATGTATGTTTGTATGTATCTAGATGCTTTACGAAAAAGAAAAACATTTCGTTTCTTCTAAACTTCACAACAAATGACTAACTGTGCATTTTGCTTGATGCTTGACTGTAGATAAATACATGCCAATATATGTATATTCACTCACACATACAGACATTTATGTATGTCAGTCAGTGGTTAATTGTTTAATTGAGAGTAATAGAAATTATAACACATAAATTTCAATTAACATTAAATCAATTAAAATTTTCTACATTCTTATGTTGTTTTGCTAAACTTGGTATTTAGTATGTGCGTATGTACATATGTATGTTATGTATTTCATTAATTATGTATTAAATATTTAACGCATTGTATAGTGTGTACATACTAATTAAAAGTGTTTTCTTTTTTTGCAGAAATTTTTCTAAAATAACAAAAACAACATAAACTACAACAAAAACTGCAACAAGTGTCTTCATGTCTTTGCCTTCGCCAATATATGTACATATGTTTGTAAACGTAACTTATTAAGAGCTTAAAGCTACGCCAATTTGAAGAAAGAAAAAGAAAAAAATTTTCAAAATAAATAAATTCAGTGTTAATAAATAATTAATTGTGATATAAGTAATTACACATAGAGATAAGCATAAGAAAAACACAAATACAAACAAACTTATAAACCACCATTCAACGCCTTTTAACTGTGATTTTGTGCTGAAATCATTTGTACGCGCGCAAAACATTTATTTTTAACTCCTTCATTTATGCTTTATTCGAAATTCACAATATAAAGCAAACACGATGTTCAACCTCAATACGCCCTCGTCTCTGCTGGGCATCGATTGTGGTGGCCTCAGCTCGACACCAAAAACTCCTGAAATTGTCAACACTTTGATTGCAATGACGAATCCTTTGGATAACTACAGTTTCACCGCTCTGACCAATGCCTCGACAGCGACGACCCCTGGCAGCGCTGTTTCTATGCGCACGTATAACGGTGCACCGAATGCCCAGGTGAGTCGACCTATAGTGGAAAATGCTCTAAATGTATTAATTGTCTCTAATTTCTTACAGTTAACATCACAGGATAGCAGTCATTCGAGCTCATCGAATTCGCCAATCGATTCACCGTGCGGTGCGAATGCTACACCGAGTGTGCAGCAGGTGAGTTTAACAAAATTAGAATTTGGAATACAAAAAAATTTAAAATAAATAAAATGAGTTTATATCAAGTAAAGTAATAAAATAAGATTAAACCAAATAAAACAAAAATAAATTGAAACAAAATAAAATAAGATAAAAACTAAATAAAAATAAAAAATAAAACAGAATAAAATTAAAAAAATAAGAAAAATTAAGGAAAATATTATAAATCAAAAAAAAAAGATAAATAAAATAAAATAAAGTAAAATGAAATAAAATAAAATAAAATAAAATAAAATAAAATAAAACCAAGAAAAATAGAATAAAAAAAAATAAAATAAAGTGCAATACAATAAAATTAATTAAAATTAAATGATATACTTACTTACTTACTTTACACCGCTTACGCGATTTTGGCCGATTTAACAGTTGGAAATACCACGTACAGCAAGATCCTTCTCCACCTGGTCTTTCCAACGGAGTGCAGGTCCTCCTCTTCCTCTGCTTCCACCGGCGGGTACTGCATCGAAAACTTTCAAAGCTGGAGTGTTCGCATCCTTCNTTTTTATTTTATTTTATTTTATTTTATTGAATTTGTTTAATTAATTTAATTTATTTTATTGTATTTTATTTTATTTCATTTTATTTAATTTCAATTTACTTTATTTTATATTTTTTACAAAATTTTATTTTATTTTATTTCAAATCATTTTATTTTATTTTATATTATTTCATTTAATTTTATATAATATAATTTAATTTAATTTAATTTATTTTATTTATTGTATTTTATTTTGTTTTTTAAATATCAAGCAAATCAGCTTGAGTTTTTTAATAGCTAATATGATTGCATGAAATTGCTCTTAATCTCTTTTGAGCTAATCTCAATTAAGTAATTGAGGGCCTGTGTGAATAGCCTTTTAGAAATGCAATTAGTTGCTAATATTCATTTTATAAATTTTTTATAAGAAAAACTTTCTTCAAATAAGTCTCTTAATTGCTAAACTTAACACTCGATTAACTAATTGCCTAACTGTGTGAACAGCTTTTTTTAAGCAAATTCTTTTTTAATATATATTTATGTACGTTTAAAAACAAAGCATTTGAAAAGTTGAGTGCACAAATGTATTATATATACATATGTGTATACAGCAATTTAAAGAAACAAAAAAAAACTTTTCCAATGTTAATTTTAGTAAGTAAATGGTAGCAGTTTGGGCTTCGCAATTTTATATACTTATGTAAATTTTATTTTTTTGTCTTCCACCATTTGTACATACTTATACATATGTATACATATGCATGTATAATGAAAAAAAAATCGTTTCTCTCTTTAAACTCTCTTCGGCTCTAATCAATTTAGTCATTTCCTTACTAACCAAATGAAGCCTGATGACTGCCGTGGAAACCTCGAATACATAGCAAACACATGTTTGCCTGCCATGCTACCGCAACTACCGCAATTACCGCAACTACCTACGCAAAACACGACCAACAATAATAACAACACCCCCAACATCCCCGTCGTTGCAGATTCTTAAAAATGTTGCTTACCACAGTCAGCAATCATTGCATGGTAATTGCACATATACATGCATATACCTACATAATGTATGTCGTGCCAAAGTGTAGGTGTTGATTTTAATAATTGTTTGAGATGCGTGAAGTTTCGAAAAATCAATTGCACTTTTTGTTTTTGTTATTATTTTTTTGTATTATTATATATTTTTTTTTTTTGTTAAAAAATTCAAAAAAAAAAAACATAAAATAAATAATAAATAATCACTCTCACGCATTGTCGCGTTTTCTTGTAGCAGCAAAAGTGAAAAAAAAACGAGTTGCCATTTTTGGGAATTTCAAACCAGTGCAACACCGTTACCAAATATGTCATATGCACTACGCTGAAAAGTAAACTTCTTTGCATTTTTGGTTATTGCTCACAAACAGGATTCACTTGTGTCAAAATATACAAAATAAACAATGGTAATTTCGTAAAATTTTTTTGCAGAAACCAAAAGCAATTTTTTTTAAATAAATTAAAATCACAATTCACAATTCACATGGTTTCATACATGTACATTTGTTTTGTATGTACGTACATATATATAAATACATACATATATATTATTATTGTGCTTTTTTTTTGTTTTTGTATTTTTATGCAATGTTAATCGCTAAGAAGGCTTCACCTTCTGCATGATAATTTATTTGACAAAAAATTATGTCAAAAGGAAAAGTGAAACTCCACGGGTACTCGTGTTTACATACAAACGTGTAATGCATTTTTTATTAATTTAATTTAATTTTTTTATTAATTTAATTTAATTTTTGCAATATTTATTTTTTATTACATTTTATTATTTTTTTAATTTTTTTTTTATAAAATTATAATTACTTATTTTTGCTCGCTATACAAATTTTAAAGGTATTACATCGTTATTATTATCATAATTTTTTATTAATTAGTTTTTATAATTTTTCATTACTTATTTTTAATAAATATTTCGCTATTTATTTAAAAAAAATATATTTTTCATTTCTTCTTATTACTTTTATAATATTTTAGCCGTTTAATTTCATTGATTATATTCTATAAAAATCTCTTATTGTTTGAATTAAATTTAATTAAATTAAAAGTAGATTTTAGTATTAATTTTTTTAATTTTCATTTTTTTTTTATAAAAATGGAAATTGCAGCTTGCAATTATTATAATTAAATTTTCCTTACTTATTTGCCATACACTTTTCGCTATTTACTATTTTTATAATATTTTAGCTGTTTAATTTTTCCATTATTTTTTATTTCATAAATCGTTTTCAATAAATTTAATTAAATTGAAAGTATATTTTTGAGATTAGGCTTTTTTTCAATCTTCTATATTTTTTATAAAGAATATAATTGAGTTTTAACTAATAATTTTTTTTAAGAATTATAATTGAAAATTTAGTAGACTGTTATTAATATTACAAATTTACATTATTTATTTTTAATAATTTTTTTTAACCTTTTTTACAAAATTTATTTTTGTTTTTATAATTAATTTTTATAATTTTCACCTAATTTTTTAACAAATATTTATATACACATAAAACGTGTAATACATTTTTTATTATAATTTTTTCATTATTTATTTTTTATCACATGTTAATTTTTTTTTATAAAATTAATAATTTAATATTATTTTATAGAATTTTAGTTATTTATCTTTTATGAAAATTAAAAAACCAAAAAAATAATTATAATAGTACACTGTTATTTTTTCATAATTTTCTCCTTATTTATTTATATTTTTCAATAAAATTGTAGTTATTCGTTTGCTATAAAAATTGAAAAAGTATATTTTAATTATTTTTATTAAATTTTTCTTTATATTATATATTTTTATAAATTTATTATCATCACTTTTATTTTATAAAGTTTTAGTTATTTATTTTTTACGAAAATAAAAAAAAATAGATTTATTATTTTTATTGCCATATTACTTAATTTTTTTCATTAATATTTTTTTTAAATTTTTTATTTTTTATTTTAAATATTTTGTTGCTTATTTTTTATAAAATTTAAGTTGTTTATTGTTTGTGAAAACTGATAAATTAGTAGTTAATTATTTTTATAATTTTCTTTTTTTTTATAATTTTCTCCATATATATTTTTTAATAAAGTCGAAATTTTTTTTAAGATTTAATAAAGTGTTTTTTTAATTATTTTTATTAAATTTTTCATTACATATATTTTTCCATAATTTTATTAATTATTTATTTTTTTTAATCTTTCCATTAATTATTTTTTCTAAAATTTTTGCTTTATTTTTTGCTCCAAATTTAAAAGAAGTCTACCACAATTGTGATACTCGTGCAGTGCTCGTCAAACGAAAATTAACGAAGAAGGTTGGCATGAGTTTACAATTTTTTTTTTATCAAATATCGAGGTCGAATTTATTAGTATGGTACCTAAAGAGTACACATAACCGGGCCGGAAGCACGTTTTGACAACCCGCGTTCGCTAAACTCACCTGAATATCATCCGTACAAGAGAGGATCACACGCGATCTCCATCCATTTCTTGTTCACTAATATTCTCTCGAGTGACCACAGCGCTGTGCCATTTTATTCAAATCAGGCTTATCGAAAGATGATCGCAGCCATTTTCGCTTGAAAAACGCTGTACAAGAATGATTTCGCTTCCAATTGCAAGTTATCAAAAACTTTTCCTCCTACTTGTTATTTTGACCCACCTGATCACACCTGGGAGTGGTAAAGGTGGCTTATGTTTCGATAGAGCCGAAGACAATATTTTTACTTCTTTCTGCCTTCTATACATATGTATGTTCTATTAAAATAATGTAAAAATAATCATTTTAAATCCCTCCTCTCTCTCCTCTTTTCCAGACGTGTTCCCAACTCATCAAAGCTGGCCTCAAACTCTCCATACAAAGCAAAAGAAAACTGTCAACTTGTGATTCCAGTTCGGGTTCTGAACAGCCAAACTCGAAATATTCGCGACCCGACGAAGATGGCGACGAGACAACGGATGATGAAAACGATTGCAAGGCCACAGCAAAAGGTCTAACACCAGAGGATGAAGATCGCAGACGTCGACGTCGTGAACGCAACAAGATCGCCGCCACCAAATGTCGCATGAAGAAGCGCGAGCGCACTCAAAACCTAATCAAGGAATCAGAACAATTGGAAACACAAAATGTCGACTTGAAAACACAAGTGCGTACACTGGAAGCCGAGCGACGGCGTCTGCTCGACATGTTACAATGTCATGTAACAACTTGTGTACATGCCGGTGGTCTCAATTTACCCTCCAAACTTTTGCAATCACCCGCACACAAGTATCTCGCTGCACTTGATATGGATGAGAGCAATGTCACCAGTCTCGGATCGGCAGCTACGACTACACCGGCTACGGGCGGCACATCTCAAACGTCGCAGCAGCAGCAGCAGCAGCTGCAAAATCAAGACAACAACACACTCAGCAATCAGACGACGCACGGCATACAACGTACTGCGATCCCACCAATGTCGAGCATTAAATTTTCACGAAGCGCCGCCGCCTTAGCAGCCGCTGTTAATCAGCAAATGCATCAGCTACCCACACAACAACAGCATCTGCCAAACGGTTATTGCAAGCCATCACCAACGCCACAGGAGCTGGGCTATTTGGCATCGCCGTCACAAGAGAACATATGTTTGCCTGCCATGCTACCGCAATTACCGCAACTACCGCAACTACCTACGCAAAACACGACCAACAATAATAACAACACCACCACCACCCACCAAATTGGCACGGTCAATGTTAATAACGCCACAGTGCCAGTTATTAATCAGACACTCACTGATTACATTCCAAACTGTGAAAATAGTCTCGGCCTCGTTTTAGCCCATACGCCCACCTCAGTTCAAAGCAACGACGACAACAGTGTACTACTTGGTGATATTGTCAGTCCACTGGCGGTCACGACCACGGAGTTTGTCAAGAATGAGCTAGTCGACTCGCAGAGTCCCTACACCACCGCCCAATCGGCTGAGCGTTTCCTCTTCGAGAATAATTGTGACAGTTATGTTGATATCAAGCATGCGGTCAGCTTACATCATGGCAGTCTCAACAATAACAACAATAACAACCTTACTGCTCTACATCACAATAGCAATAATAATCTTTTAGATTTCAATAGTTCATTGATAGGCGTTGGTGGTGTTGGTGGCGGTGGGATCGTGCCGTTTCATGATCAAATCTCAATCAAGAATGATTATTTGCATGATGCTGATCTGTTGGCACAACTCGCCGGAGACGGTGCTGAGTTTGTGGATCTGGATTCCAGTGTTGCAGCCACATTTATGACCAACAACGGTTGTTTAGCGTGAAATACACAAACGACAACAGTCGCAAATGATTTTAATATTTATTGAGTAAATAAGCAGGTGTAATTACATACATAAGTGTTTGAAGGAAGGAAAAATGGTTCGCTCTCAAAGAAACTATATTTAAATTGTGTAATCTATTCAGCATGTGCAATTTTTTTTTTTTTTTTTTTTTGGAGCATGTTCACAAAGACCAAATTGACGGAGGCAATTAAGGCTCAGTCTAGTGTTCGCACATGGGCAATCAACGTTTGGTATGTTTTTATTTTATTTGATTTTATTTTATTTCTTTAATTTGTTTAATTAATTAATTTTACTTTATTTAGTTTTGTTTTATTTTATTTTATTTTATTTTATTTTATTTTATTTTATTTTATTTTATTTTATTTTATTTTATTTTATTTTATTTTATTTTATTTTATTTTATTGAATTTGTTTAATTAATTTAATTTATTTTATTGTATTTTATTTTATTTCATTTTATTTAATTTCAATTTACTTTATTTTATATTTTTTACAAAATTTTATTTTATTTTATTTCAAATCATTTTATTTTATTTTATATTATTTCATTTAATTTTATATAATATAATTTAATTTAATTTAATTTATTTTATTTATTGTATTTTATTTTGTTTTTTAAATATCAAGCAAATCAGCTTGAGTTTTTTAATAGCTAATATGATTGCATGAAATTGCTCTTAATCTCTTTTGAGCTAATCTCAATTAAGTAATTGAGGGCCTGTGTGAATAGCCTTTTAGAAATGCAATTAGTTGCTAATATTCATTTTATAAATTTTTTATAAGAAAAACTTTCTTCAAATAAGTCTCTTAATTGCTAAACTTAACACTCGATTAACTAATTGCCTAACTGTGTGAACAGCTTTTTTTAAGCAAATTCTTTTTTAATATATATTTATGTACGTTTAAAAACAAAGCATTTGAAAAGTTGAGTGCACAAAAAAAAACCATTAAGGGCCACAAAATATATTATATATGTATTATATATACATATGTGTATACAGCAATTTAAAGAAACAAAAAAAAACTTTTCCAATGTTAATTTTAGTAAGTAAATGGTAGCAGTTTGGGCTTCGCAATTTTATATACTTATGTAAATTTTATTTTTTTGTCTTCCACCATATGTACATACTTATACATATGTATACATATGCATGTATAATGAAAAAAAAATCGTTTCTCTCTTTAAACTCTCTTCGGCTCTAATCAATTTAGTCATTTCCTTACTAACCAAATGAAGCCTGATGACTGCCGTGGAAACCTCGAATACATAGCAAACACGTATGAATTTTTTTTTTTTTTTTTTTTTTTTTTTTTTTTTTGTTATTAAGCTCACACACATTTTGTGGCTTTACTACCTCAAAGAGCAGCAGAATCTGTTTTATACATACATACGCATTGTATTGTAGGCGTGTCAATCAATAGCTTTCAAAAAGTTGATAATTTTTTTTTTTAATTAATTTTTATATGTAAATATGTATGTATATTTACACACAAAGCATTCCAAAATTGTAATAACTGTAAGTTTAAAATTTAGTAGCAACAACAACAACACAAGAAGAATCACACAAGAAAACCACACAACAGTAATTACTATTTTTTAATAATTATAATATTAATACTAATAATAAAAATAATAATAATAATTATAAAAAAAATAATTATTATTATTTTGAATTTTTTTTCTCGCGCGGAAAATTCGTAATTTTAATTGCTTAAGCTAGGAAAGTTGTTGAGGCGTGTAGTTTTAAGTGCGCATACATACATATTTTAAAATTTAAATGTTTAATATACATATGTAGCAACGAGATTATGTGTGTAGAATACAATAATTGTTATTATTATCAATATTATGACTAACTTTTTCACGACACGGCAATTTAAAAAAAAAAAAAATAAAACAATCAATGGAAATAACTGTATGTCTGTACATACATATATGTATTTTTGAAAATGAGCAATTTTTTATGCATAACTGTGGTGTTGAGTCCTTCTTTTTTTTTGATTTCAAATTTTTTTTTTAGTTTTTTTTTATTTATAAATATATATATAAATATATTTAAAAAAAAAATTCAAATTAATTTATTTATTTTAATTTTTTACATTTACTTTTAATAATCATATATTTTTTAATTAATTTTTAAAAAATTTTATACGCCATCTACACACTTATACCCAGTAATATTTATTTTAACGAACTCTTAGTTGTAGAATTATTATTATTATTTTTTTTTTTTTTGTAAAATTTTGCAATTTAGCATGTAAACGGAAATCTATGATATTCTTTGTAAGTGATATATATGTGTTTATGTACACTTAAGTATGTATAAAAAAATGTAAAATAGTTTAAAAATTAATGCCTTATATGTGTACGAAAATATATATATACATATATTTATATATAAACAAAAATAACAAGCAACTATATAAGTATAAATGTAATATTGAATCAGCTTTTGTAACAAAACTTGGCTAACCGCATAATTTCCCGCTATATATTATACATATATACTAAAATACTAAACCAATACAAAATAAAAATTAAATAACTACAAAGCATGTGTGTAAAAGAAAACAAAATGACAAATTTATCTTGTTCAATGTTGCCTTAAATATGTATTTACAAAAGTAATAAAATAAAAATTAAAAAAAAAATTAAAATTATGATAAAAAAATATTTCTAAAATCTGCAACAATTTACAAAAATATATAATGGCTGATTTACTTTATATATGTATATATGTAATACAGAAAGTGCGCTTAAAATCATTAAATAGTTCCGATTATGTAATTTCGACTTAAAAAAAAACAAAAAATTAAATTTTCAATATACATACATATATATTTATGGATTTATGTATATGCACGTATGCATGTACATATATTTGGAAGCACATAAATTATAATATATATGTCTATTATATGTAAATGAAAACCCAAACAATATTTATGTAATACAAAAAAATATTTCAAAAATTTGTGCTACTGTACATACATATATGTATGTATACAAATAAATATCATTTTGTAAAAAACAAAAATCAACGAATAAAATACAACAATGAAATGTGCACGTACCTATGTACATATGTACATATGTATGTATGTATAAAAATACATTTATTTGTATAAAAATCAAAACAATAAATCACCAAAAGTAAATGTACGTGTGCAGAAATTTATAAAAACGCACACACACACTCTCACAAATATTGTATACATATATATGTATGTACTTATGCTAGATGTGTATGCATACCATTCGGTGGCCTAATTGAAAACAACAACGAGCAAGCCTTAAATAATTGATTTATAAACATTGTATATATGTATGTGTGTATGTGAATTTATGCTAAATTTTTAAAGGAAAAACTTAAGAAAATTAATAAAAATAAATCCCACTTGTTTAATGGTTGAATTAGAAAAATATGTAAACATATATGTAAGTGTGTTGCTTGCACCTACTGGCAATCAAAGGTTTTTTTTTTGAAGAAAAATTAAAACAAAACTGTAGGCAGAAATTGAAAATAATCGTTATTGAAAAAAATATATTTATCTGAAAAAAATTTGATTTATACGATTTTCAAACGACCAAAACACTTATATAATATATTAAAAATAATTTTTTAATCTTTTTTTTTGTAATTATAATTTTTTACAGTGCTTTAAACTACATATATATATATATATATATATATATATATATATATTTATTTATTTATTTTTATTATTTTTGCTTTTTTAAATTATTTTATTAATTGTATGTTAAAAACAAAAATAAAATAAGAATTTGTTTATTTCTTTATTAAGCTTTTTTTTACGTTTTCAAATATTTATTTTTTATTCCAAGTTCTAATAATTTTTTTCATTTGTAATTATTTTTTTTTTAATTTTTTTCATTTCTGTTTTCAAATTTCCTTAAGCAATAAAATAAATACATTTTTAAATAATTTTTCAACATAAAAAAAATAAAAAATAAATGTTTTGCCATAAATAACATTTTTTGAATACAACTGCTGAATTTTTAACGAACTTTTGTTGCTTTAAGAATTGAAGACAGTTCATTAAATAAATAAAAAAATATATATTAACGCTTTTTTTCAAACTCCGAAATGTTCGAAAATCAAAAACAAATCTTTTATTGAAAACTATAAAATATTTCCTTTTTTTTTAACTTAAACTAAATTTTAAAAGTGCCTAATAATATATGTATGTTGATAAATATATAAAAAACTAGCAGTAGCAAAAGAAAATCGAAAAAAGTGGCTTGACATATTTGAATAAACGTTTTTTTTAGATATTAACTGAACACACCACATACATAAATACGAGTACATGATAAAAAAAATATATAAGACATAACAAAAAAAAACATACCGAACTATGTACACATGAATATGGCTAAATTTAATTGAAAAAAATTAAATATGTGCCGTTATATATGTATATATATAACTGTCTAGTTAACATTAAAAGGCAAGAATTCCAAAGAATGCGCAGCAACTGCTTAATTACAATATATGCACTTTTAGGCAAACTCACCTGTGGTCTTATTGAGCAAAACAAAGAAGAAGAAGAAAAAAAAAACCAATGTCAAAATTCATATAAAATAAATTTAAATTTTTTGTAACACAAATAATTATTATATTATATTATATACATATATGAATTGAAATTAGGCAACAACAACAGCAAAAGCACAGTAACAAAAAAATTTAAAAAAAATTAAATTTTGTTGTAATACAATAAATATAGAAAACGCAATCAAAACGTACCAAAAAAATAAGAAACAAATCACCTACAAGCAAGTATATATATGTATGTAAATACAATTTTATGTGAAACTTCTCAGTTCAGCTTTCAAAACAAAGAGAAATTACGAAACACCGTTAAAACAGTGCACAAAAATGTTTGTGTGCTTTAATAAGTACCAACAACTGCACAAAATCTGTTTAAAAATAAAAAAGGAAATTAAGATTAAAAATAAAGAAAGTAAAATATGAACTCTGCGCTTATTTCAAATAAATATTTTTTTAACCGTTATTTGCATACATAGTGCTTGAAACTAACATAAGCGTAACAAGTACAAAACAATCAAAATAATAATAATAATAACAACAATAATTTAAGTTACAGCAATCGCTACATACATACATATGTAC